TTATCATTTATAATACCTAGATATGTTTTAAAATGCAATTTAAAGCATTTTTGGTTTTGATCGTAGTAGGCTATTTTCAAAAAATATCGATTTTATATCTATATTAGCATTCTTTATCATTTATAATACCTAGATATGTTTTAAAATGCAATTTAAAGCATTTTTGGTTTTGATCATAGTAGGCTATTTTCAAAAAAATATCGATTTTATATCTATATTAGCATTTTTTATCATTTATAATACCTAGATATGTTTTAAAATGCAATTTAAAGCATTTTTGGTTTTGATCATAGTAGGCTATTTTCAAAAAAATATCGATTTTATATCTATATTAGCATTCTTTATCATTTATAATACCTAGATATGTTTTAAAATGCAATTTAAAGCATTTTTGGTTTTGATCGTAGTAGGCTATTTTCAAAAAATATCGATTTTATATCTATATTAGCATTCTTTATCATTTATAATACCTAGATATGTTTTAAAATGCAATTTAAAGCATTTTTGGTTTTGATCATAGTAGGCTATTTTCAAACAAATATCGATTTTATATCTATATTAGCATTTTTTATCATTTATAATACCTAGATATGTTTTAAAATGCAATTTAAAGCATTTTTGGTTTCGATCATAGTAGGCTATTTTCAAAAAAATATCGATTTTATATCTATATTAGCATTTTTTATCATTTATAATACCTAGATATGTTTTAAAATGCAATTTAAAGCATTTTTGGTTTCGATCATAGTAGGCTATTTTCAAAAAAATATCGATTTTATATCTATATTAGCATTTTTGATCATTTATAATACCTAGATATGTTTTAAAATGCAATTTAAAGCATTTTTGGTTTTGATCGTAGTAGGCTATTTTCAAACAAATATCGATTTTATATCTATATTAGCATTCTTTATCATTTATAATACCCAGATATGTTTTAAAATGCAATTTAAAGCATTTTTGGTTTTGATCATAGTAGGCTATTTTCAAAAAAATATCGATTTTATATCTATATTAGCATTCTTTATCATTTATAATACCTAGATATGTTTTAAAATGCAATTTAAAGCATTTTTGGTTTTGATCGTAGCAGGCTATTTTCAAAAAAATGTCGTTTTTATATCTACATTAGCATTTTTTATCATTTATAATACCTAGATATGTTTTAAAATGCAATTTAAAGCATTTTTGGTTTTGATCATAGTAGGCTATTTTCAAACAAATATCGATTTTATATCTATATTAGCATTCTTTATCATTTATAATACCTAGATATGTTTTAAAATGCAATTTAAAGCATTTTTGGTTTTGATCGTAGTAGGCTATTTTCAAAAAAATATCGATTTTATATCTATATTAGCATTCTTTATCATTTATAATACCTAGATATGTTTTAAAATGCAATTTAAAGCATTTTTGGTTTTGATCGTAGTAGGCTATTTTCAAAAAAATATCGATTTTATATCTATATCAGCATTATTTATCATTTATAATACCTAGATATGTTTTAAAATGCAATTTAAAGCATTTTTGGTTTCAATCATAGTAGGCTATTTTCAAAAAAATATCGATTTTATATCTATATTAGCATTCTTTATCATTTATAATACCTAGATATGTTTTAAAATGCAATTTAAAGCATTTTTGGTTTCGATCATAGTAGGCTTTTTTCAAAAAAATATCGATTTTATATCTATATTAGCATTTTTTATCATTTATAATACCTAGATATGTTTTAAAATTCAATTTAAAGCATTTTAGGTTTCGATCATAGTAGGCTATTTTCAAAAAAATATCGATTTTATATCTATATCAGCATTATTTATCATTTATAATACCTAGATATGTTTTAAAATGCAATTTAAAGCATTTTTGGTTTTGATCATAGTAGGCTATTTTCAAAAAATATCGATTTTATATCTATATCAGCATTATTTATCATTTATAATACCTAGATATGTTTTAAAATGCAATTTAAAGCATTTTTGGTTTCAATCATAGTAGGCTATTTTCAAAAAAATATCGATTTTATATCTATATTAGCATTCTTTATCATTTATAATACCTAGATATGTTTTAAAATGCAATTTAAAGCATTTTTGGTTTCGATCATAGTAGGCTTTTTTCAAAAAAATATCGATTTTATATCTATATTAGCATTCTTTATCATTTATAATACCTAGATATGTTTTAAAATGCAATTTAAAGCATTTTTGGTTTTGATCATAGTAGGCTATTTTCAAAAAATATCGATTTTATATCTATATCAGCATTATTTATCATTTATAATACCTAGATATGTTTTAAAATGCAATTTAAAGCATTTTTGGTTTCAATCATAGTAGGCTATTTTCAAAAAAATATCGATTTTATATCTATATTAGCATTCTTTATCATTTATAATACCTAGATATGTTTTAAAATGCAATTTAAAGCATTTTTGGTTTTGATCATAGTAGGCTATTTTCAAAAAATATCGATTTTATATCTATATCAGCATTATTTATCATTTATAATACCTAGATATGTTTTAAAATGCAATTTAAAGCATTTTTGGTTTCAATCATAGTAGGCTATTTTCAAAAAAATATCGATTTTATATCTATATTAGCATTCTTTATCATTTATAATACCTAGATATGTTTTAAAATGCAATTTAAAGCATTTTTGGTTTTGATCGTAGTAGGCTATTTTCAAAAAAATATCGATTTTATATCTACATTAGCATTCTTTATCATTTATAATACCTAGATATGTTTTAAAATGCAATTTAAAGCATTTTTGGTTTTGATCATAGTAGGCTATTTTCAAAAAATATCGATTTTATATCTATATCAGCATTATTTATCATTTATAATACCTAGATATGTTTTAAAATGCAATTTAAAGCATTTTTGGTTTCAATCATAGTAGGCTATTTTCAAAAAAATATCGATTTTATATCTATATTAGCATTCTTTATCATTTATAATACCTAGATATGTTTTAAAATGCAATTTAAAGCATTTTTGGTTTCGATCATAGTAGGCTTTTTTCAAAAAAATATCGATTTTATATCTATATTAGCATTCTTTATCATTTATAATACCTAGATATGTTTTAAAATGCAATTTAAAGCATTTTTGGTTTTGATCATAGTAGGCTATTTTCAAAAAATATCGATTTTATATCTATATCAGCATTATTTATCATTTATAATACCTAGATATGTTTTAAAATTCAATTTAAAGCATTTTTGGTTTCAATCATAGTAGGCTATTTTCAAAAAAATATCGATTTTATATCTATATTAGCATTCTTTATCATTTATAATACCTAGATATGTTTTAAAATGCAATTTAAAGCATTTTTGGTTTTGATCATAGTAGGCTATTTTCAAAAAATATCGATTTTATATCTATATCAGCATTATTTATCATTTATAATACCTAGATATGTTTTAAAATGCAATTTAAAGCATTTTTGGTTTCAATCATAGTAGGCTATTTTCAAAAAAATATCGATTTTATATCTATATTAGCATTCTTTATCATTTATAATACCTAGATATGTTTTAAAATGCAATTTAAAGCATTTTTGGTTTTGATCGTAGTAGGCTATTTTCAAAAAAATATCGATTTTATATCTACATTAGCATTCTTTATCATTTATAATACCTAGATATGTTTTAAAATGCAATTTAAAGCATTTTTGGTTTTGATCATAGTAGGCTATTTTCAAAAAATATCGATTTTATATCTATATCAGCATTATTTATCATTTATAATACCTAGATATGTTTTAAAATGCAATTTAAAGCATTTTTAGTTTTGATCATAGCCAATGCTAGCAGACAGAAATTTTTGAGTTCTTATTATCATTTTTGTTTGTAACGGACTCTGTTCTCTTTGATAACATTGGGTTATTACAAATGCCTTGTAATTTTCGAAAAATGTTCTAAGTGCGTTCCCTAAACTTCTCGTCTCCCTCCCTAACCACATCAATACTACACGATTTTTTAATTGCACCAACAAAGTAAGTTTCGTCACTTTGTTCACGCTAAGAGTTCATCTATCAATTAAACTTGATATTGCACACGTAAAAGGATTAAAACTTAGCAACATTTCAAACACTTCACAAAAATTGAAAAGTTTATCAAACATGCATCAATTTCTGACAATTTTCTTTTACACTTTCTTTATTTCTAAACTTTTATGGTAACCGACAAACTTTTTAATGAATCTGAATATTTTTTTACGAAAGTCAAAAACATTTTCTTAATAAATATACGAACTGATACGAACCACCATGAACCACTTTATATTTCTTCGGAAAAGCCTTCATTCAGTGGTAGTAAGCTGTTCTCTTTAAACATCTTATAAGTTTCAACTCTTTATCTCAAAATTTCCTCTATTTTTATTCTCTAAATGCTTTTATGCTTCAAACAAGCTAACGCTTGATTATTTTTTTTTTTGACAATTTTTTTTTTCGCTTGTGCGTTTTCTATGAACGATGAAGAGAGATAATTCTGCGAAACTCTTAAGCTAATTAATAAGGCTTATTAATTTTTTTAATGAGATTTTTCACGTTCAAACTGAAATAAGCTTAATTATTGTTTAAATAAGGCTTTCTTTTGAAAAAAAAAAAATCCGGAGTACTTCATAATATTTTTGAATATCATACAATATAAAAAGCTCATTTCCCTCTTCGGGGTGCTTTATTATTCAAAAAATGTCATTAGTAACTAGACTAAAAAGAGTTATTTTTTATGACTTCAAAAGCCAGTTGACATCAAAACGGCACTCAAACGAATGTTCATTAACAATAAACATTCAAATCAAATCTATTCAACTACAATCAATCTCTTCAATTCATCCTAAACTTCCTTTACATGTTTTTCAATCACACTTTTCCATTCATTCATATCATGTGCTTTTACGAGCAGCATTCTCGGATTTACAATTCCATACTAAAAGTATTATGAATCACAATTCCTGAATCTAGTATCAATTCGTACTCACCCAACGTCATGAATGGCATTGTAAAATCAACAGCAGTTCTTCGTTCATACGTGATGGTTAGATCGCAAATTGCTAGATCAGCCTTCTGTTAATATAAAATAAAACGGAAAAAATAAGATAATTAAAGAGATTTGAGTTTGAGAGATTAAATTAACATATAACAAGTAGAAAAACTGCTCTTTACAATGGAGAGGAAGAGCACATTTGAAGATTTTTATTGAATTTTACTGAAATTGTTACTATTTGAAAATCGAAACCAGTAAAGTAATAAAGGTTGAAGAAATTCTTTGATTAACGAAAAAGGAAAAGAAAAATCTTCGAAGACAGATGAAATGGAATAAGGAAATTCTTTGTTTTGCTTTTCAATGTTAACGAAGTACAAAGTGGGTGGAATTATTCCAATGGGATTCATCATCATACAAAGCAGAATTTCTTCTCGTTTACGTTCACATTTTCATCGACATTATACGGATATCTACATCCTATGAAAATGAAATAAAAATCTATGCTTTTTTAAACATACTTCTTTTATTCATTAAGGAACAGAAGAAATTCTGTTCTGTATTTTATGACAATTGCTCGTCACATTAAGAAATGGAAATTAAAATTATGAAAAAATAAGAAAGTTTTTATGATTTTTAATTTAAATGATGCTCGCTTTTTACAATTCTATAGCTCATTATCTTAACTTTTTGGTTGTGTGACTGAATGACTTTAAATGTTTTCCTTTTCAGCAGCAGAAATTGTACGGCCACAACAAATAAATGAGAATAATTTTTGTTAATTTGATGCTTGTGAGCTCTGTTTACTCATTCATTAATCTAGATGGTGTAGGCTATTTATGTAATAGACGTTGATGTTTCTGTTATAGATGCAAGAGAGAAGAAGTTTGTTGGATGTATTTTAAGGTTTTAAGTTTAAAAAATTATTTTTAAGGAATTTTTGTGTCGTTTTTAAAATGCTTAGAAACTTCTTATTGAAATTAGTCTATCTCAAAAAAATTGAGATTCTATGGAAAAAGGGACTATATAAGATTCAAAATTAATGACCATAAATGATACATTCACACTTATGTAATGAAATAAAGAATTAATAAAGAAATAACAATTTCGTCTTTTAAAATTCCATTTCATTTTTAATTTTTGTGACAAAAAATTAATTTTCTCTCTTCCGAGAAGGAACAAAGGTTTTTAATGAACGAGAAATATAAGACGGTACTGCTAAATTACGATGCTTTATAAAAAAAAATATGAAAACGAGCAGAGGATGAAAGCAGTCAAATAGATAAGCAAATTAAATGAACTTTCTTTGCTGTTATGTCTTCATTCTGCTGTGAAGATTTCACCGGTTTTGTAGATGAGGTTTATGAACACAAGCAAAGTATTTTTGAGGATTTATATGAGGATAAGTTTTTTGAAGGCACTGATCAGATTGGCATTGATTTCTCAAATACGTAGGCAGAGCATTGGAATGGTCAATATTATGTCTGATGTAAAGCAGGATCCTGAAAATGTGACCAATAAATAAACAATTCCTATTCATTGAACATTTTTATCATTGGCTAATTTAAGTCTTCTATTATTTCTAAAGAAAATTAAAACAATTACATCAAAATATATTATTGTGATAATTTCGATTTTCCATTCGTCTTTCACAACATTTCATGATGATGAAAATCATTCAAGCATGAAACAGCAACAGCACAAAAAAAAGGCAAAAACAAAGCTGATGCCAAAAAGTGAAGTTCACTTTAATGTGAATTTTTAATGAATACTTTATTTTTTTGCTCGTTTAAAAGCAAAGCTTTAAAAATGGATATTTAAAGTCGTGAGAAGAACAGACATAAAATTAAATTAGTAGAGATGTAAAATTCGAAAAGAGAATTAAAGAATCTTAAATGTAATTTTAATTGCGTTAAAAAGTCTTTTCGTGGTGTTTTTTGGGAAGAGTAACGTTTTTGGAATGACTGAATTGGTGCTTGAAGAGAACCTAAAAAATTTAACAAATGAAAATTTTTACAACAAAATGTTCTTGTCTCATCAAATTTGTCTGAAAATTACAAATTCAAACGATTGTAATGACAACAAAATAATAAGAATGGAAGCGACAACACGTGTCAAGGATAAATATGCTAATCATACAGAAAACTTTTAATCTCATGTCTTCAAGCTTCATGTTCGACATAAAAAAATGAGACGGAATTAATTGAAAATTTCTTTAATTAAATGAGAGAACAGATTGTTGCCGACAAGGTGTGATGCCTGCGAACATTTAGGTCATGGTAAAAAAAGTGCCAACACCTTACAAAGGTCTCCATTATGTCATAACATATAATCCAAAAACAAAAGTAACGTTTGGTGCTTTTTTTGTTTATACTAATTACAGCTTTTACTAAATAAAGGACAAATATTTGTGATCTAATAATTATGATTAGTTTATAGCATGAAACTTAATCTGAAAGGCTATCAAATACAATACAATGTATTGTTAAGTGGAATTGATTTATAAGTTTAATGAACTTATAAGAGGACATGATAAATGTGTGTGGCAGCTTGTGGGTGGCAAGAAATGCTGCAAAGAATACATAATACAATGGTCATCAGAATAAAAAACGTCTGCGACATTCTGCAGTGACTATTACAATTTAATAAGTATAGAATTTCGGGCAACTTAAAGCATTTTCCAATATAATAAGGATGGATTTTGAATCGATATAACACAAAGTAAATTGCACAAATTGGCATTTATCTCCTATAGCAAATTTTTATGTCCTTTTCTTATATGCTATCTTATCATTAAGAATCAACCATAACTCTTAATCAATACAATGTCAAAAAGGTAGAAATAAGCAGCTTAAGTATCATTATAACTTTTCCTCTCTAACTCGAACGTCGAATAAAGTTTACAAAACAAAAATTTATTGACCCTTTTTAACGAAAAAGAATGAGTTTTAGTGGACATAAAAAAGTTTCGGTTTCATTATAATTACCATCGAATGGGACAATCCTTAAGAGGTTTCACTATACACATACAACAAATTTTAGAATCATCTTACTAAGCTTCTACCCAAAAGTATCCTCAATTTATTATTTTAAGGCATCTTCGAAGGTAAAATCTTCTTTTTCTTCTATAAAATAAGATGAAAAGAGATAACGAAAAATATCGGAAGCAATAAACAGTAAAATAGACCTTTCATAAATGGAAAGTTAATAGAATCGAATGAAGGATCAAGCATTTTATATCAAACTTGATGACGAAAGAATCACCTTAAATATAATTAGGGGTTGTTTCATTAAGAATTAATAAATCAATAAAGTTTCGTTGTCTTCATTGGATACGGAGGCAAAAAGGTTATAATCAAGAGTTTTCAAAATCAAAGAAAATTGATGAAAATCTTCTAGTGAAATGAAAGACTGTGAAAAATACATACGAATTAAAAATTTATTATTGTGTCGTTTTGCTCCCATAAGCTCTTTAAACTTCTTTTAAATATGTTCTAATTTTATAAAACTTCACTTCACTCTAGTTTGCAATCCTTCGTTCAACAAACTTAAGGTTTTAACATCACAAACTAGAAATGAAGCCAATCACGCTTCATGGGAATATTCACGTCATCCTATAGAACTCTCGATGTTTTGTTTTTTTTTTTATGGCGGATAATCATTTCAGTCTAAAGTTTCTTTAATTTTCTACCATCACTAATGCTTAATCGTCATTTATTTTACATGGAAAAATTTTTAGCACGAAACTAATTTTAAACTTTTCTGTAAAGCCATTTGAGTTGAACTTTACCTTAATCACAAAGTTTTACTCTTCAATTTTTTTTTGTTGACAGAAAGTTTGTCGTTGGATGATATGATAAAGTTTTAATGCCATTTCTAAATTGATCCCATCGCTTTTTCTATTTTATAATATTCTGGAAGTGTCATTCAATTGTTAATTTTTATTCTATACGAATTCTCGTTTTATTGAATCTATATATACAATGCTGCAATTTACGTTTTACAATCTACAAATCTCCAAAATTCTTCAAACATTCTCAACTTCAAAAAAAGGTTCTCTCAACAAAAATCAATAAAAATTCATGAAAATTTATGCTGGAAAACTTTTAGCATAAAAGCTAGCGTTTTTGCTTTTATACCCAATGTTCCCATAATTCTCTTCTTTTTGCTTATACTTTTGTTTTCGAAAATCCTGAGGTTGTTTTGCTGTTTATACATTATTTTTCGGGACATAACTGCAAGGTTTATATGGTTAATAAAAGAAAAATTTCATTTTTCATGATGAACAAAAAAACTTGAAACTACAAGCATACAAGGAGCGGTGATTTTGGAAAGATTTTGTCAGGTTTTTGGAATTCAATTCTAACTCACTGAATATTTTTTAAACTTGTCCATGCAAAACTTTCTCATCATACAATGGAACACCCAAATAATTATTGAACTGAATCCATCCGACTTTAAAAGCATCAGCCAAATATGTATAAAGTAAATCACCCAAAATATTTCCAAGAGGAAACAACAAAGCAGAAAATAAATAAGAATGGAAAAAAAATCCTGTGGCTATAACAAAGAGCCTATAAACAAAATTTAACTTTCATCACAAAGCCATTTTCTTTTTCATTGAATTCCCTCAACCCTTTTCCGTACATTGAAGATTAGTTCTTTTTTTGTGCCAATAATCCATAGATACGTGTTAAACCAAATTGAATAGATTTAAGTATTAACAAAGAGAACAAAACAAGGAACTAATTTAATTAGTAAGATTTGGCCTTAAATAGAAATAAAAGTTATTTCAAGACTTGTTGCATCATTATTTATTTATTTTTGGATATTTTATATCCTTGATCAATAACTGAGAACCATTTCATCTGCTCATTCTTTTGCCAAATATTTTTTTAATTAATAAACGATAATACAAAGCTTTTATCATCATTATTCTATAGTTAATTGAAATACAATAAAACATACTGTTGCCTGTCCATTCAATTGAGGGCTTTTGTGGAATCGTTGAAATGAATTAGCATTTGTTGAGGGCGATGCAAAATTAAGTGAAAGTTTTGAAAAAAAAAATTTTTTTGTGGATTGGATGGGATTTAAAAAACATACTTTTCATATTTTTTCATGACATTTACGCTAACCATGCAGTTCCTTCCCCTCATCCTTGAATTAATGAAAAATAGATAAAAATCAAACTGAACAATGAGAATATCTATAGAATGAATATAACAGTTTATGACCATCCCATTGTGAATGCATAAGCATCAATTTGTTTTATACAAATTTTCATTTCACTTCCAATTTTTTTTTTGTGCTTTATCGTTATCGTTTCAATGTCCTATGAAATTAAATGAATTTTTTAAATTAATTTTCGCACATCAAAAGAGAGCATAGCAAAATTCAATTTAGATTGATTGAAAATGAAATGCGGAACTCTAAAACTTGAAGCGAATATTCATGATAGAAATTTTTCGAGTAGAAAATTAATTTTAAAGAGAGAAACAAAAAATGTTAATTAATTTTTCTTATCAATAATGAGAAATCAGGATTGTCCCGTTAGTTTTTATGGAAATGGTTCAATAATTAATTTAGCTATGCAGAGAAGTTTGATAGTTATGGTAAATAAATGCGATTGAGATGTGGATATGGCATAGTTTTGGGAGATATCTTATATGTTTAAGTCTTAAAATATTGGATGTTACTGCTTAAAGTCTAAGAAGCATTCCTCGTCCATTAATTTTCAAAGCAATATTAATCAATAAATTATAAAGTGAACTGGAAACACCCAATTTTTTCAATTACCCAACTTTAAACATTTAAAAATATCCAACACCAAGGAACACCAATGAAAGAATACAAATTATAACAATTTATCAACATCGACAAATGTGAGTAGCTTTAATGCTCATAAATTAAAACAACATGGAGGAAAGAGGAAGAAGATGAAGTATATTTTCTCTCTTTAAATGCAATGACGTCAATTTATGTTCTTTATTTCAAAAGAAACATAAAACTCAAATTTATAAGATTGTGTTGAAGGTTCTTATAGCTTTAAATTTCAATTTTTTAAAATCCTATACAAAATGAAAGTTTTCATTTTTTTAATTATTTGGACTCAACTAATGGTTCTTCTTACCCCATCAGAGTTGAAAAACAAATTTTCTTTATTGCTTTTTCGATTAAAAAAGTTTCTGCGCACGAAAAGTCATTGGAAGTCCTTCAAAAATTGATTTTAAAATGAGTTGTTTTCAAATGTTGAAATTTGTGCGAAATTTTTTGACAAATTTTGAAATTTGTGTGTTTTTTGTCGTAGAAAGCAATGGCACATTTTGTCAACAAAAATAATTATTTAAAATCAAAATCGGGTTTTTAGAGTCATGAATCAAGATTAAGACAAAAATAACACGAAGAAGACATGAACTGAGAGTAATGAAAAATGTGTTCGACTCAAACATTCATACAGAATCAAGAAATTTCAAAAATGCAACCAACTTCAAAAAATATTGCAAGAACAAAAAAGCATTCAAGAACTACGTTCTGTTTTCAGTCCCAAATAGATGGTACACAATAAACTTCGTTAAAATACTCTTCATTTTTTTTTTTCTCAAAATAATTTTGCAAAATTCATTGTTTTTGAAAAAAAAAAACATTTGTAGGATGTGCTTGGTTTTAATAGTGTCTTCTCGTCATACTCAGTCAACATAAATGATATACATAATGATAAATAAATTTGGAAATTTTGAAAAAAGTTGAAAATGCGTAAAAATATTGTTTGTTTAAATTTCTGAATTGAAATGTGTCAATGCTTGCTGTCAAAAAAACGCACAGATTTGAAATTTTTTTGCACAAATTTTTAAATTTTCCGCACAAATTTCAACATTTGACCAAAAATGTCAAATTCCTCTTCCTTTAAGCAGCATAACCATCACTTAGTATTAAAAAATGAAAATTCCAACAATTTTTGATAATTTAAGACCAACCGTAAATTTTTACAGTAAGGCATTAAAAAGTTATAAGCAAATGTAATCTTCAAGTGCAAAAACACACAAATTTCAACATGGTTTATCCTATACGTCAAAAATGCATTTAAATTCACGATACTTAATCAGCAAAACTCAATAGCAAATAAATTAGATTAATAAGAAAAACTATATACCATGTTTCTATTCATCAAACATTCAATCTGTCATTTACACGCACGCATGCAAGAAAAAACTTTATCGTCGATAGAAATAGCTTTCGGGGCTAGGCAATTGCACTGAAAAATTAATAAATTCACAATACAAGAGGACAAAAAGGCTGAAAAATGGTTAAAATATTCCTAACCTTGACAAAAAAAATTAAAAACTACGCATACGCTTTAATGATGTCTATAAATGACGAGAAAATTCAATTAATCGATGCGAGCAATTAATCCGACCATAAAAATTAATTGGACACGTTCACATTACTAGAAACTTATATTTCATGCTCTTAATGTGAGGAAGATTTACATTATGGTCTAACACACAGACGATGTAAAAGACTCGTTCTCATAAAAATAAACAAGAATTGTAGGTATTAATGATGAAAATATATACAATGAAGATACCGCCTACGAACCATAATTTCAATCAATCATTACATCAAGATAAGTTAATGATAAAAAAAAAGGTTTTGTACTTCTTCTTTTATGTTGAGATCTGTGTCTGACAGATTCTCCCGGATCTTCAAATCGAGTACTACCCGAACTGTCTAGAATAACATCTCTGCTATATGTGCATACATATAAAGAAGATTCGATAAAAACAAAACATTCATTCGCTTCCATTTTTTCGACATTTCAGCCGATTTAATTGTGAGAAAATTTTTATGACGATAAACGTGCCAGTCATTAAAATTTGTTGCTCCTGATCTGATTGCTTGCGTAAAAAAGTTATTTATCTTTACACGTTCGTGTCAGGTGGCTGCTTTTTCCTTGTTCAAACCTCGACCCCATACAAATTGATTTTCATGATACTGACGTATTGGATAGGTTATAAATATTGAAACTATTTGTATGTAAAAGAAAAAAATTCAATCATGACATGCAGCTTTTATGTGTTCAAAGTAATTTTACAGAACTTTTGAAGACCAAAGAAAACTAGGCAAAAAAAGAATTAATGCAGCTCATTGCCATGAAAAGCAAAGCAAAGATTACACGTGATAAAAATAATTAAACTTTTTGTTTGCATAAAAATGATTTTGTAAAGTTTGAAAAGGCATCAGTTATCTAGTAAATTTAGTCCTAAGGAGAAATAATCGGACATTTTAAAGGAATATCTTTATTTTATAGACAAAATTATCAATTACTAGGTCGAGTCACAGAAATTTAGACGACATTTTAATATAGTTACCACAAGCCTTTAACTATCATGCACAGCGTTATATCCTTAATAAGATATCATGTTATAAACCACAACAACCCTTCAAAAAAAGTACAAAATAATAGTAACAAAGAAAAGATGGAAAAATAGAAGAAAATGAGAAGACAGACAAGGATGGATAGTGCCAACATCTATTCATCCATATTCATCTACTCACATAAATATGTTGTTAAGGAAAAAAAGGAAGTTGACCAAAATAAATTGGTTTTCTTCTTCTTTCTGAAAGTTTTTTTTATACTCATTTTCAGCCCCAACCTCAATTTTTATGAGCATTTTTCTTTCTTCTTATCGAATATGTAATGAATTTCTACTATTCTGTCTATACGATGGTACATAAATCTTTTCAATATAATGAATTACTTACTCTATCCAAAAGGTGTCTCACCAAGCCGTCCCACTGCTTTGTGACTTTATTATATGAACCATATTTTCCATCCGGAACGATTTCAAAGCGGTAGTTGAAGTGAAGAATTTTGGAAATAGCATCAATCAAGTCCAGGGAATAACCTTGAAGACGTTGATTTCCTTCGAACACTTCTCCATCTTCCGATTTTCTGTGTGAATTACATAACATATTTTAATTTATTAGATTTTTTTGTGCCTTCTGTATCTATCCTTCAAGGTTTATATACTTAACGACAGATTCAAAGCTGTCGTGTCGCAAGACGTTGTCAATTCATTTTTATTTAAGGATTTTGATTAATTTTTTAAGATTGAAGGCAAGCAAATAAATGCTTTTTTGGAGTTAAAGATGAATTCACTTTTACCATTTTGTTTACGAGACATTTTCACTGATCAGCTGTTAATTACCGAACAAAACTACAAAATGTCAATCAAAACTTTGAATCCTTATATCTCCTATTCAACAATCATCTTATAAATCTCTGATTACAACGACATAATGTGCTACCAACATGTTTACAAAACTATAAGGACAAAATATGATGAGAATACAGCAAACATTTGTGATATAATAATCTATAGATATATATTATGAATAGTCATTACATCCTCATAAATAACAAGCAACTACATATGATCTGAGTTTATAAACTTCAGATTCAAATATCTATTAAGCAGCTTGTTATGACTTGCTATGGCTTATTTCCAACGATAGAATAGCTCATATTGATTGCAATCATCTGCTTCCATTGTGATTGATCCTATTAAAACTGTTACATTGTTGTTGATTGTTTAGGTTGTTTTTTCCTTGAGGATTAAGCTTTGAGAATGAGGATTTAGTTCACATTTTTCCTTAACAAGAGCTGGTCTAAGTAATTTTGAAGTTTCTTAAGACATTGAGTAATAAATACTAACAAAAATTCCAAAGATAAATGATTTACCAAACCTTAAAATTAATGAATGAAAGGTTCTCAGTTACAATTAATTCCAACCTTAAAAATTCCATCATCTAACTTCTTATTATCCTTGTAGCCTTCAAACGTAATTCCTCATTTTCATTCATCACAATTAAGGAAAATTTATTTAAGCTCACGTAATTACATGAGAATGATTCTCTTAATGCGTTCCTAGACCAACAATAAAATGAGAAAATGAGTATGGAAATTTATCTCTCGTACAGCTCATGAAAATGATAGCCAAATAAAAAAGTTCTTACTATCTACGCTGTATACCTAATACGTACATTGGCTCATGCAAAAAAGAAGGAAAGAAGAAAAATCTACATAATTTTGAATACATAAATATATAAGATGTGAAAGGCATATGTGTGTAAGCTGTACATCACACTAAGCATAGAATAGAGGTATTAGCATGTAAAGAAAAGAATGTTTCTGAAGAGGTGAACGTTGCTTGAGCATATTTTATGATTAATAATTGAATAAAGATATACTGAGTACATTCCGCAAATATTTTCACATAAACATAGGGGTCGTTTACTTATTACATTTGCAGGAATGAGAAGGACAATTTGAACCTATGTAACAAAACTTAAAATCTTGTGAATTTTGAGAAATCTAAGTTTGTTGTGGATGTCATTTATAAACGATCCAATGTTCATTTGACATTGAAGATATAAAAAGAGGAAAAAGTTATAAGACGGCAGGTGTATCCATATAAAAAGCATGAGAGAAAATAATGTCTTTAAATAACTAGCTGTACACTGAAGCCTTTTATGTAAACTTATGTATTTACTATAATAGCTAGGGCAAAGATTCTTGAAGGAAAGAGATTTTTTAGTGGTTCCATTGATTTTGTGACGGAGTGTTTTTAAAGAAATCATGTATGGACAGTTTAATAATTTTTCCAATTAGTACCGCAAAACGACTACAAAAATTATTTAAAAAAAATCTAATTGTGTAACAGCATTAATAAAATTTTGAAACTCTATACAAAAAATGGGTCGAAACTAGGTGTTCTAAAATCGGGAATATTCCCGGGAATTCCCGGGAACGGGAATCCCGTTCCCGTTCCCGTTTCCCGAAAATCTGTCGGGAATATTCCCGAAATTCCCGTTTTCATACCAAAAAACCGACAATTCAAATTAGATTTTTTTTTTATGTTGTATCTTTCATGAAAAAACTACAATTTAAAGAAAAAAATTATAATAATAATGAAAACATACGTTAAGGAATTTAAGAGTTGAAATATTAAACTCAAATTTGATGTTTTTTAAATCAAAAACATATATTTATGAAAAACAAAGAGAAAAAATTGAAAATTTTGTGTGAATATGAAAGTATTTAAAAATATTTTTTTAAATGTATGATGTCCACAAAATAATAAACTTAATTGAAATTGGATTAAAGTAATTTTTCCAAAATAAAAAATGTGCTTGAAATTAATATTAATATGTAAGTAATCAAAAAATCAGTTCATAAGTTGTAATTTAATCATGTACATATTCGTAGATTATCAGAAGTCAATAAATTAGGATGTCTTGGGTTTGGAAGCATTTTACAGTTATAGATTGCTAGACCAGCACGTTAATGCAATCAGGTTTTTAAAATCGTATTTAAGAATTGTTCTAAAACCAAAAAGAATTGAATTTTAAACGGAAATTATTGTCAAAAGAATCAATTTGACAATCAAATCAAATAGAATTCAAATTTGATTTAAAAACTTAAATAAAATACATGATGTAAGTGTAGCTTTTAATTTTTTTTTTCTTTGTTGATTCCCGGGAATATTCCCGTTCCCGGACATCATTCCCGTTCCCGTTCCCGATTCCCGAAATCTTACGGGAACGGGAATTCTGGAAACCCTAGGTCGAAACTGTAGACTCTCTGGATGTTTATATACTTTAAACAGGGAAAAAGCCGGAAAAATTATTTATAAGCACACTTGTTATTGTGTGTAACAAACATCTCCTATGTAAACATCACATTGAAGGAAGAAACTCTCCACTATCATCTTTTTCAATGACATGTTTGCTTCTGAAAGCATTTTTGAAAATTGAGGAAACGTGAAATTAAGTGACACTCCATATAGACATTATTAACAATATGTATATTGTAAAATCCACTTTCTTTTTGTTATAAAGTGAAGAGTAAGTAGCAAAAAAATGTAAGGAGGTGAAAATTTCCTTTTCAACTTATAAATAAAGCAAATTTCTATCGACTTGTAGGTAGGTTAGCTTTTATGTCTAAATGTTACGTAGATGTCGATAAATCGGAGCTTAAATTAAATTTGGCATGACTGAGTAGTATTCACAACTTAAATACTAGCAAAACTTCCAGTATAAAGCCACGAATCAATAGCCATACACCCCTTACTCGAGTATTGAATTCTCAAAATATCCCAAACACAAAAAAAGGAAACTTTAAGTCAATAAAATTAATAAAATATAACTTCATAATTTCAAGCGAACAGAAAACACTTTTGCACATTCTTTACATGACAAAAATAATCGCTTGTCTTGAAAGTAGTCTGACAAGCTTAATTCGTTTCCGAAAGGTACTTTTTTGTTCGTCCAACGTTGAAGTCATGTTCTTGACTTTTCTTTTTTTGGTAAAAATACTAAGTTATTGTTCTTAATGGTTTTTATTAGACTTGGACAATTTAGATGAACTTGAACATAGAGGCGTAGGCAAAAGAAACTTTTTTGTGTGTCATAAATTGAGAAACGATTACAGGAAAATAAAATTTTCATCAGTCATGTTGACTTGAGATCTTTAACTTGTAGCTTTGGGATATTAATGGATCTAAGACCTTCTATTAAGGATTTAAATAATGAAAAAAGAGTATATTTTCAAGGTGATAAGGACTAAGTGATATTAGGATTAGTTTTATATCCAGGTCATTTTGTGTCACTTCAGTTGGCTATTAAAGATTAAATTTAATTAACTTCTCTTATTTCGTCTAGCTATGAATTAATTAATCTAATGATACCTCCAAAGGTATTTAAAATCTCAGAATTACACGATATTCACAAAAATTAATTCAACTTAATCCAAATAAGCGTCAACATCTACCAAGAAGAAATTGAAGCCAAAAATGAATTTCTTCAGTTATCACGCAAACGACAATAAATCATAAACAATTTTACCATAATAACATAAAAATATTCATCTCAACAGCCAAAAGCCATAATTGCCTCAAATTATATTTTCACATAATTTTCTTTAAGCTCGAAAATTTTTCATTTTCACATTAAATTTGGAAAATGAAAATTTTAGCACGTTAACGCAAGAGATAAGAATAATCAAGATTGATTTCGTTTTTAATTTATTTCCCTTACGTTCATAAACATGTCATAAATCAACTTCCGTAAAATTCAGCACAATCTAAAATTCTATTTAAAACGTCAACAATGTGCTTTTCATAAATTTTCACCTCATTCCCATGAGATGTAAATTTTTCATGTTGAGCTTTTTTTATCGCTTAAAATTGGAAGTGAAAAAGCAACACAGAGGAGTTTTAGGCATAAATAAATCCTCATTTTTACTCCCCCCCCCCCCCCCCCCCCCCTCACATGTGATAAATGAAACGTCACATTTAATTCCATCAACAGAAAGTGTAAGATAAAGTGAAGATTGTGAAGATTCTCTTCACATTTGAATGAGCTTTGGTCATTATTAAGTTAAAGACTTAGTGAAAAATTAACTTGAATATTAATGAAATAAATAATCGTGAGAATTTGGAAACCTCAAATCTCAAAAAATGTATCATACATTAAATTTCTTGTTATTCAATCCTGTGGTCGGCAAAGAGCTTATAAAATCAGTTGAAACTTTAAAGATTTGAATTTGAATTTTTAAACATTTCGGGCAGTAAAATTTAAATTCAGGAAAAACGTTATTTGATCATAATTTGTTTTGTTGTTTTTAAGTCATTTTGCTATTAAATAATATAGAACTTAGTTTTTTTCATAGCCTTTTTGGGCCAGTAAACATTTTGATATTCAAAAAATTGAGTTAAGGAGCTTAATTTACAAGACTTTGAGATTTCTCAAATGATTTTTTCCTTCGTCATGTTTGTTTACATTTTGACAAAAAATATTTGAAAAAGAAAACGCGAAATTTTATCAAAACCAGATGAAATATTGAATCCATAAATAGTTTAAAACAAAGAATGTGTATCTATTTTATGTTTAAAATAGTAATGTGTAAGAAAACACAAGGATTTTGGCTGAAAATTAACAAAATTTTCTGATTGGCTAAAATTCATAACGGATTAAGTTCTAAAAATAAGGACTACTAAAAAGTACTAAATCTAATTGTTCTAAAAATAAGATCCGTTTGCCTACCACAGATTCAATCATTCACAGAAAAAAAAAATGCACCGCGCTATCCTCACAAGAAACATTTTCATTATAAAATTTTTGAAAATACATGTTCGTTGCTCATATGTACGCTTATGTACATCTATATCAATTCTCAATAGATTTACATCAAAAAATGCGGCCTGATTCGTTCACGTTGATCAGATTACATCCTCAACAATGTGACACGACATGATTCTGATTGATTCTTTCGACTTATATTCATCAATTTACAATACAAATTTTTTTCCACTCCTATTTCGCATGTAACAGCTCCACATGGATGGAAATGTTTGATGAGTTGCCATGACACAACGGAACAGTATGGTGCCATTATATAAAATGAAATATGGTAGACACTTACCTATAATCTAAAAACGGTGCAGCGATTCGTGACACCACGATAAATGTTTTGTTTTGTAATGCCTCAATAACCTGCTCGTATGCTTCACCAAGTGTTCGCGTGTAATTTACATGATGTTCCGGATCCCACGTACCAATTTTCTTGAATCCTTCCTTTGATAATTCTGTTATTTCCAGTTGAAAGTGAGAACGCTTTCCATCGTCATTAAAAACTATTCTACCAGTGATACCGTTGTCCGTTCGCTGTGTAATTTAAAAACAAAAATAAAAATCAATGATATACTGAAAAGATATTTCCTTCATTTTATCCCCCTTTGATGAGGATTTAAACTTACAAGTCTCATGTATTCCGCAATCCTCTTTCCATGTTCCCATTGTTGAGGTTGCTTACAATCTATCTTTTCCGTCTCAATCTCTTCAGTAGCATCAAGCTCACGAACAGCTGCTGCAAATAATCTTACAGCATCTAAACGTCTCCCCAACAAATGAGAAAAAAATACACACAAAGAAAAAATATATAATTCTATGTTTACTGAATTGAAAAATATAAACACACATTTTTGAATGAAGAATGGATATAATACACTTTTCAATACAACATATGGTTCATATAGCTATGAAGATAAGTGAATTAAAGAGAAGAAGTGATACAACAAAGATGGAAAAAGACAAGAAGTAGAATGAGATTACAATTTGATTATGATTTTCTTTTTTGGTTGAAAGAGAAACCTCAAAAAGTCTCAATTGAGGATATGCTAAGTTGTGCATTAATGAAAATATAATAATGATTTTTTTTTTTTTAAAAACTGCTATAATTGCTAATTATATAGTGAGCCATAATCCGATTACCATGAGCCCCATCCTATCAATCCACAAACATATTTAGTTCCCAGACTTTATTATACAAATTCTTCCCCTAATTAATTAATCATTACTCTGCAAATAATCAACTTATTAACAACTAATGAATCATTATCCTTAATAATCCCACAGAATCAATTTCCTGAAGAAGAAAAAATCAATAATGTAAGCATTCCTGCTGATACTGCATAAAAAAGTGAAGCAATGTGGATATACAATGTAAATTGAGATGATTGATTACATTACCATGATATAAGGCAGTTTCTGTTTTAACACTCTCCGCTGCTATTCGATACATCCTTTGAAATTGACGCTCACCAAGTTCCCAATCATGAATTGCTAAAAATGAAAATGAAAATCGATATTGATTTTGTAAATTTTTGTTGAAATTTATGGTCGAAGTGTTGTTGATTATAGGTTCAGTTTATGTGGAAAGGTAGAAAGAGCTTTAGCTGAATGTTCTAATCACAATCCTTCATTAGACAAACAGAATCCTATTAAAATTCTCAACAAATCAGCCCATACCAGTATTATCTACCAAGAATAAAAATAATGTAAGAAATAATAATAATAATCCATACCGTTCATAAGATCGAAACTTGAGGGGTCGATGAGACGCATCGCAGTAATATTAGCTCGCATAAATTTCAATTCCTCGAAATCCAAAGTGTGGGTGTCAAGGGATGTAATAATATAGCTCTGATATTCTTCCATCATTTTGACTTCTGACGCTTGACGCAATAAAGTGATTATTTTATCTAAATTTGAGACATCGAGAATTATATGACTTTCGCCTGATGTTTGAATTTGTTTGAGGAGAGGTCTATAATCTGGTCCATCACCCAATTGTCTATTTGAATAATGAAATATTGAGTCAATTTAAATGATAATAAATGAAAATCAAAAATATTACCGAACAGTAACGGGTGAGCTTTGAGGGTCATGAATTTGCAATATATCCTTGAGTCTTATCAATGAATCATCATCTTCATAAATTATAGTGTAGCTCTTCCAAGTATAATCAATCAAAAGATCAGCATATGCTCGCGACAACACATTAGTGTCTGGATAAAGATTTAAAGTAAATGGACTCGAATCTTCATTAGTCATTCCAACTTTTTCCCTCTCCCAATGTGTTATGATGTGTGGAACTTCGACTGTATTACAAACAGACGATGCGATACCAGATGTTTCTGTCGTTCCTGGCCCAAATATTGCTGCCACACCTTCATTGATTAATTCGCAAACTGATTGAAGGGAAAAATATGGGAAGTATGAATATTCAAGTGTCAAAGATAATTAGAATTGCATGAAATGGGTGGATATGTGAGTTGTTATAATTGAGTGATTTATGCACTTTCAGCAAACATAAGGTTCGACCATTTTTGAAAGTATTATTATTATTACTATCATTATTTTATGTATTAAAACTTTTAGGAGCCAAAGCAGCGTAATGGCTTCAGTAAAATTTAATGTTCACACAATCTCTTTGTTCAATAACTTGGGAATTGCCTGTGACTCGATTTTTCGAACAAATCAGTTTCTATGGACTGCAGACAACGTCATTTACAAAATTTCCACTGAAATATTTTTACTTACCAATCCGTTCAGTCTTGAAGCTATCATACGAAGACGCATATCGTATTAATGGCTCCAACTCAAAGCCCGACTCGTACATGTTGATCCGTTTAATTGCATAACGAAATGCAATTTCTGATTCATTGCTGTCATCATGAAATATTACACCTATTTTGAAAGTGTCGAGAAATGGGAAAATTGTGATAATCGGAATTAATTAAAGTTGTTTTTGTATCGAGTTCATGTTGATAAGTTGCGTCATAATTGGATTGCGAGTTGTGAATAGGTTGTAATTGTATCATGAGTCATTTCCTCAATTGATTGAAGTGAAAATTTATAATTTGGAATTTTTCGATAAGTGGAGTGTCGAGAGTTTATTTTTGGAAACTGCAGATGAGAATGTTATCGATTTTGTCTTGAAATTGAGCAGTGAATTCGATTCGTAGTTTATAACAAAATTGTAAAACTATAGTAATCACTAAATTAGCCCATAACTCAACTATCCTCAACACATCCTTCCTCGATTACAGGACAAACCCATCCAATAATTTTATATTTTCAATTTTATAAATTGCAAATGTTACAATGTGCAAGTAAATATTTTATGATCCAGAATCCTAATGGATATAAAAAATTTCTTCCACTTCCTTAAACTATCCAATACATATCACAATCATCTTGACATTGTTGCAATTAGTTTCTTCTTAATCTCAATAATTCAAGATATAAATAAAGACACTTGAGAAATTGAAACTTCAATACAGAACCAGAAGATGTCAGAAAAAGAGAAGAAGTAATAAAAAATGTTGGAAATGTTCAATTGCAATAATGGGACAATGTGTAGTTGTATCATCATCAAGTAAGATTGGTAATAAAAAGAAAGTTGCAAAAAGAAAGCTATAAATAAAATCTTATTCATACAATATTGATGTCATGTAGCTTTCTTAAATTGCTTCACTTTTATTGGAGATGAATAGGCATTCTAAATTTGAAATAAGGATACAAACGTCTACATGAAACAATTAAAGACGGAAATGAGGTTAAAAGATAAAACAAAGTAATTGCATGGTTTCAAATGAATTATTTTTATTGTTGAGCTTAGCTTTCAAGTTTTAGTTGGATAATAAATTAAGTTTCAATAAAAATATTAATGAATTATTATAAGTGAATTACTGTGCTTAACTTTCCACTCCAGATCTCATGCTAAGGACATTTCATATTCACATCTGAATAAAAAGTTATAAAACTTCTAATGAGAAAATTATAACAAAACTTAATTACAATTTAATAAAAATTCAGCCACAAGAAATTGAGTTCAAAAAGTTGCTACGGCACAAAAACTTTTCCAGTTTGTTTCATGAAAATTTCTTTTTATTTCTTCCCATAAATTTCACGTTAACACAGTAGAAATATAAATTATAAATTATTCTATTGTAGATTTTTTTCTTCGTCTCTTGGATGCAACAGAATGCAGTGACTTCATTGTAATGGCAATGGCTGATGATATACACAATTGGAGTGCCCATTAGGGTACATTAAATTAGTTTTATGTCACAATGTTATAATTTTTAATGGTTATGAAATGCACGACTAATTGTTTCTTTAGGGGAATAGTGCTTGTGTGCTGCAAATGAAGAAATCGAGTTTTAAAGAAGAAATGTGGGATATATCAAATAATAATAATAAAATAAGAATAATAAGAATCTTCAAAAATTTAAAATATTGATTTTGAAAGTTCTTAACCAAGTTTGTCAACGAGTTTCGAAAAATATCAAACATTAATAAACCAATACTTTACTCAAAGTAAGTGTAATAAACCATAACAATTTCAGAGCTGTTTATTGACCATGCGGATTAGAAACTTAAGAACTATCTATAATTTCTGCAGATCCAACCCTGAATCAAAACGATAAATTGTTTAAATGTTGCTTCAACACTTTTTCTTTTATTGCATGTCGCTATCGCTCCTATTAGAAGTACTTTAAATAAATGTTAAAAGTTCAATTGAATAAAAAGTTGACAAAAGAATAAAAGAAGCAATAAAAGAATTTTTAAAGGATGAAGGAGTCAACAAAATAGTGAAATAGATAGCATAAATATGATATTCAATTAATATCTTTTTTATTTATAACTTCCCATCCTAGCTTTACATTTTCGTTTTTGCAAGAATTTCTTTTCAGTTCAGTTCAGTTAAGAATATTTTGTAATTTAACAAATGACAGAAAAGAAATAAATTTCATTGAAACTTTTATGCATTCGAATGAATCAAATAAATGTGTGACTTTGTACATATATTTCTGTTGTTGAACAAAATAAGAAATAAAAGTTTGGTATAAAAATGATAAATTTTGTTGAATGTCGTTTGGTGAAAAATTTATGTTCTACCTATGTGGGGTTGTTTACTTGATGACGTCAGGTTCTAGTTTTTAAAGATTAATAATGTTAAGTTTCGTGAATAGAAGGCGTTTTGTGAATCTTCATAAGGATTAGCCTCTGACCTTAGTCATGCATTAGTATTTTTAGACATTAATGGTGGATGTCCTCCTTTTTCGAGAATATATTCCTTCGTGATTGCTTTTTTATGTTTTCAATATAAATCATCAATAATTAAAATAATTTTTGTATCTTGACTACGGAACAAAAGTTTTTAAACATTTCAACCTTTATGATTCAACATCGCATTAAAGTTCTTCTTCCTGTCGTTAAAATTATTCTTCCACAAAAATGCATACAAAAAAAAACAGAACGCCTTTAGAAAAATGTTTCAAGCAATTGAACACAAGACTCAATGTCATGAGAAGCTTTTCAATTTAAACTTTTAACAAGATTTAGCCAGGTAGACAGAATCAAAAGACTCAAAAAGCAATATTGAAGAAATTGATGCCAAACATATCATGTTCCTTTATATTCTAGAGAATAATTCTAAATATGTTTCTAACAACATCCATATTAGCATAATAAACTCAAGAGCGATGTAAACATTCAGTTATTGATACGTAAATCTATTTGAATTAAATTTTGAATTAAATATGTTTGCAAATAAGAAGTACGAAAAAAATTGTGGGGAGGAAAAAAAATTTACCGTGTGTTCCTTCAAGGCATTGATTCATTCAAAATGATATGCGTAATAATTTGATTTCGCTCGATGCTTATTTTTTCATTTTTTCTTTATTATCACCTTCCCCTTATATATTTCGATGAAATTCTAATCGATTTCGTAGGTACATGAATGCATATGAGGGATATTTATTTAGAGTGTATTGTTATGTGCTCGTATGTCATTTTTATTTTCACCAAGAAGTTTCTTTTTGTGCTTTAAACACAATTTGACACATATTTTAAAATCGCCCTTATTTCTTGGTAGTATGTGCACGAATAAGTCTTGTAAGACACACGAGTAAAGTCATAAATTGATAATTTGTTGATAATCGATAAACATAATAAAGATTATAAGTTTACAGGTTATCAAAAAATTATGTCATAAATAAAATTTATCGGAATTTCTTAAAAATACTATAAACCCTCAATAACTTTACTTTTAAATTAAAAACCACAAAAACAAGATAATTCGTTCATTATCCATCAGAAAAAATAGTGCGATAGTCAAGAAAAAATGGATTTGAAATTTCTTGCTCTAATTATTGTTTGGATTAACTTTTCAAGTACTTCAGCAGCAGATGAAGTGCTAGAATGTGAATATTATACTCAGAAAGATTCATACATTTGCAAATTGTTAATTTTTAATCCAAATGGGTTAAATAACTTCACGAATATAAATGGAACGCATTTTACTGGATTTAATAGTTTAGATGTTCAAAGTATTATTTCAACAGAAGTATCTAGTACAGTGAATATCCCAGGAATAATATGTGAAACATTTATAAATCTTAAGAGAATTTCATATACAATAAATGGAATTGATGAGATTGGAGAGAATTCTTTCAAGTATTGTAAAAATGTGGAAAGTATCATACTATTCAGCAACAAAATAACTAAAATCCACGAATCAGCATTCAGTGAAAATTCCAAACTTCAAATCCTCAATTTAGGTCAAAATGAAATTACAGTTCTACCCGAAAAACTATTTGAAAACCAAATTGACTTGGTCTCTTTGAATTTAATCAGTAATAACTTAACAGACATGCCCAACAGAATATTTAGAACACAGAAAAAACTTACAGAATTAGACCTCGGTAGGAATCAAATTTCAAGCCTCAGAAATGATTGGTTTAAGGAACTAGAAAGTTTGGAGACGTTGCTGTTGGGAGTTAATATTATTGAGGACCTTCCAGTTGATGTCTTCAACACATTAAAATTGCTCACTAAAATTAATCTTGGCAGTAACAAAATCAAAATCATAAAGTCCAGTTCATTTGGAAATTTACTAGAGCTGATTAATGTCAATCTTGAAGAAAATGAGATTGAAGCAATTGATGAAAAATTCATAGACAATACAGGAGTCACCACTTTAATATTGAGCATGAACAAATGTTCTGATAGAGTCATAGCTGACTCAACACCAAGTCGAACGACAATGAAGAATTTATTAAAGAAGTGCTTTGAAAATTATGAGAAATTAATTAAGATAGACTCTAATGGCTTTAATTGGTGGTGGTTAGTACTTTTAATATTGTTAATTTTACTTTTATTGACATTATTGTGTTTCATTCCTTGTATACGTAACATAGTTTGTTGTTGTTTTATGGATTCGAGAGAATTCAATATTCAGAAATAAATAAATGAGAACAATACTAAAAGTCTATTAATAAAGATAATTTACGAACAATTGGAGTATCACTTAATAATTTCAGCACTTAATAATGTTAGCAAAATGACCTCACATGCAATAAAATTATTTCAGCAGTTTTGAAATTGTCATATAATTTGATAAAATTCTTCTTCTTCTCTAGTGAATAATTGCAAGAAAATTACATGGAGACAATAGAATAATGTTTCAATGCCACTTGGTCGCATTAAATTGCTCATTATCATGAATTATAATGATATGATTATTTTCACTGATTAGGACTTAAGCACCGCCAAAATGTTGTATTCTTTCCAAATAATGATAAAAGTAATAATTTATAAATAGATAGGGGTATATAACCAGGATTTGCATATTCTTCATCAGACGAGTTCGCGTATGAAGAGAAAAATGTATTTAAAAAGTTGTTCCTTAATATTTTTATTCGGAAATTTCCAAATTATTTTTGGACAACAAGATATTTTGAAGTGTGATTATGGCGGTGCTTACTCTTGTAGTCTAACCGTTTCTAATACTGGAACTGGATTCTTTACCGATATTGAGGGAACTCATGTTGATGGCAGTCAAGATTCAGATGTTTTAGAAGTAACTGCAACACCGTTATCAAATTCAGGAACTATTCCATCAGCGATATGTGCTAAGTTTCCAAATATTGGAAAAACAACCTACATTAGTATTGGACTTGAAAATATCGACAGAAGTGCATTTCGAGGTTGTAAATACATTAAACAAATCAATCTAAGTGACAATGAAATATCGAACATTGACGAACTAGCTTTCAGCAAAAATGGAGAGCTTCAAAGGCTTTATTTAACAAAAAATCGTATATCTTCATTGCCAAGTAATGTATTTGAAAAATTAGTAGCCTTAAGACATTTGGACATTGGCAACAATCAAATCGAAATACTGGAAAATGAATGGTTTGAAAATTTAGGAAGTTTGCAATCATTGTCCTTAAATAGCAATATCATTAAGGAACTTCCAACTGGTATTTTTGCTCCTCTTTCATCTTTAGCTAACTTAAATCTTGGACGGAATCAGTTAGAAGTTTTGAATTCAGAATCATTTGGAGATTTAACAAAACTTACAATAGTTGATGTAAGATACAATCGATTAACTGCAATTGATGAAAAGATCCTAGATAATGCCGCTTTAGCTAACTTGGCAATGGATGGAAATGATTGCGCTAGTGATGATTTTATTGGTCAGGAATCATTGAAACAGGAATTAGGAACGTGCTTCGATAACTTTAACAATATTATTGGTAGAAATTTTTTCTTATATTTGCGGGTTTTAAATTTTAAGCTTATCGATAAATAATTTTTATTTTAGTAACAACTACGGACTCAACTACAGCTGACTCTACATCTGATTCTACAGGATCTGATGAAACAGACAGTACGACAGAAACTACCATCGGTGAAACCACTGATTCCACAACGGAAGTAAACACAAGTGATAGTACCACTGATGAAACCACTACAGAAGAACTAATAGAAGAAACAACTCCTGATTCAGCAAGTGGAATCATGATTGGAAAAATTATATTAATTATTGGAATAACAATCAGATTTTTGTTACATTAAATATTATGGTCTAGGAGATCAAACATTTTTTGGAAAAATTAAAGCATACTTAGGAACAAGTAGTTCCGAATAAATCTGGATAAAAATTGTTAAAAAAAATAAAATAAGATTATGAAGTGTTGGAACTAATAAAATTATTGCATTATTAAAATTAAAACTTTATTTTTATTTAAATTCTTTTGTCTTAATTGTGAGTTCCTAAAACCAACCTAATTGGTTTTAACTTAAATTTTTCATGCATCTTAATTGATTTTTTCTTGAGATTGCATAAAGACCACTAAGGAACAAAAATTACACTTAAGGATGACTGGTATGATTTTCATTTTTCAATTAGTTTTAAAAGACAAACGCCAATAAAAATCATTATTTTTTGAAAATTGTATTAAGTCTGTCAACCGATTTTGAGCAACAATTAATTATTTATATGTATATGTTTAAAACAGAGATCGAAGCCGATTTTTTCGGCTTAACTCAATTTTTGATTTTTTTGATAGAAAAAAGCCATTTGACACCCATTTCAAGTATTTAAATTGAACTTTACATGCTTTACTATGATTCTGTGTAATATTTTGTCAGCATGTAGCTATAGTGAGCTCAGAATTTCAATTTAGCCGATTTTAAGCCGATCGGCTTAAATTTCGGCTTAACATTCTTCTTTAACTTGAAATTCTGAGCTCACTATAGCTACATGCTGACAAAATATTACACAGAATCATAGTAAAGCATGTAAAGTTCAATTTAAATACTTGAAATGGGTGTCAAATGGCTTTTTTCTATCAAAAAAATCAAAAATTGAGTTAAGCCGAAAAAATCGGCTTCGATCTCTGGTTTAAAAGCTTGCACCCATAAAGCTAAGCAGGAAATATAGTCAATGATAACATCATCTAGCAATTTTATGATGCTTCTAATTTTCAAACAGTCATAATTAAACTGGTCAATTCAAATTATAACTTAATGCCGATTGTAATTATGCAAGTATCAAATTTAAGTTATGCTTATATTATTTAACTACCATGCATTTTGATTCTTTATAAATAACACTTTAAGTATGCAAACTGTATGAATAATAAAAAGACATAAATTTCACTGATTAGGTCCAATTCACCGCCAAAAATTACTGCTTCCCAAATAATGATAAAAGTCATAACTCACAATTAGATTGGATATATAAGCTGTCATGCACTAATTCTACCTCATAAGTTATCGCGCGGTAGAACTAAGATGAATTCAAAAGTTTGCGTCTTGATTTTTCTTTTCGGAAGTTTCCAAATTATTTTTGGGCAAAAGTCTATCAGCTGTACTTTTACTACAATTAAAGATACTTATGCATGTAATTTGGCAATCATAAATCCAACTGGATCTGAAACGTTTACAAGTTTTGATGGAACTCATCAATCTGGGAAGTATGATACGAACGTGCTTGAAATTTTGGGAACGTCATCATCAACTTCAAAAATTATTCCTTCATTAATATGTGAAAGGTTTTCAAATATCCAAACAATATCATACGTTGGCATGTCAATCGAAACAGTTGATGAAAATTCATTTAAAAACTGCAAATTTACAAAAAGTATATCTATTAAAGAAAATGCAATAAATGAAATTAATGAATTAGCATTCAGTGAAAACACAGAACTTGAAAAACTTATTCTATCGCAAAACCAGCTGACTACCTTACCAACTTCAGTCTTTGACTCGCTAACAGCTTTACTTGTTTTGGATTTAAGCAGCAATTTAATTGAGGAGGTTCCTAATGAATGGTTCGGAAATCTTGCAAACTTACAAAAAGTATATTTAACTTCAAATTACATCAACGAACTTTCAAGTGGGCTTTTTGCCCCAATAACCTTATTATTATCTTTAAATCTTGGATTCAACAAATTATCTTCCATAAATTCAGAATCATTTGGTGATTTATCTCAATTGGCATTTTTGGATCTACAACATAACAATATTGAAGTATTTGATAAACGACTCATTGATAACGCATCAGCGATTACGTCATTGATGATGTCTTCAAATAACTGCGCTGATGATAATTTTATGAATTTGGATGATATAAAGGAAGGTTTGCAAGAATGCTTTAACAACTTTGAAAATAGTATTGGTAAGTCCCCTGCACCCTCCATACATTATAAATAAATTTGCTCATAAAAATCATTTGTTCAGGAAATATAATAACAACAGGAGATTCACTCACAACAGAAGATACCACAACTGGTGAAACTACAACCGAAGAAAGTACTTCAGACAGCACCACTGAAGATACAACCACAGAAGAAGTAACAGAAGAAACGACGCTTGGTGCAGCAAGCGGATTTATGATGGGAAAAATTGTTATTGCTTCCGTACTTATAATGAGTATTATATTGAATTAAGTTTTGTCAAAGATAATTATCAATCTTGAATAAAATATTTTATTTTACGAGAAATTATAAAGTAGTTTTAAAAGAATTAGGAATATTGAAAAAAAAGCTCGCCACTCCTTGCTATTAAATCGTTCATTATACTTATCTTGTTTTTGGTATTTTAAGCTATCAAAACGAAATTCAATGAATTACACTGCATTCGTAGAAGTTTAATTTCACCACTAAAATTGTGCTAATATTTGCTGCAATCACATTTATACTGTAAAGATCTTGCAAACTGAGTCATATACACCAAAAAGATATGAATACACATGAAGTTATGGCCGAGATTCGCAAATCAGTTTATAATAAAAAACTTTACTGCAATATATTTTATTTCCCTCTGTTATCATATCGTACTATGATTGTCATCTAAGGGTCGAAAAGATGTTACGGGAAGCTTGAAAGAAGAACTAGCTCCTGTTTTTAAATACTTTTTGGATTCAAGAAAGAAAGAAATGACTGAACAGTCAAAGTGCGGCTGTTAAAACTACTGTTCATAATCCCAAAAATTTGTAACTTATATGCTCCTTTTTAGATAGACGTAATTATTAAACAATCTTTTATTAGTTTTGACTAATCTGTGAGTCACAAAAACAAGAAGAAAGTAAGTTGTGGGATTTACTGATAAAAAGAAAATGGAAAAAATTGGCGAGTATATAAGTAGTTGTTCGTACTTTCTTATTCAGTAGTGATCGCGTTTCAATAGCAATATGAGCAAAAAAACTTGTGCCTTAATTTTCCTGTTCGTAAGTTTCCATTATACATTTGGACAAGATTTGTCTTGTGAATATGAACTCAAAAGTGGTGTTTATTGCTGTAATTTAGCAATCAAAAATCCAAATGGATTGGATAATTTTACTGAAATTAGTGGAACGCATGTGATGTCATACTTTGATAGAAATGTTGCTGAAGTTTCTGCAACATCAGAATCTCTCTCAATCAACATACCGGCAAAAATTTGTGAAAAATTCGTAAATCTTAAGACAATTACACTATTTAACATTGGACTTGAGAAAATCGGTGAAAATTCTTTCAAAAGCTGTAAAAACATTGAAAAAATTTCACTAAATGGAAATAAAATTCAAGAAGTCAGTGAACTAGCATTTAATGAAACTTTAAAACTTGATTCATTGACATTGGATACAAATCAACTGACAGTAATCCCAGAAACATTGTTTGCTAATCAGTTAAATTTGAAATTCCTATTCTTTGGTAACAATAAAATTTCAAACATGCCCAACAAAATATTTGAGACACTTCAAAGTTTAACATATCTTGATTGTAGCAAAAATGAAATCAGCAATCTTCAAATTGATTGGTTTACTAAGCTTCCAAGTTTAGAAAGACTTTTGCTAAATAACAATAAAATTATGGAATTGCCTGCAGGTGTCTTTGCATCATTAGAGTCTCTTGTCTATTTAACACTTGCCAGCAATAACATAAGTGTAATAGAATCTAAATCATTTGGAACTTTGCCAAAATTAAACAGTGTTGAGCTCCAACAAAATATGATCAGTGCAATCGATGAGCAGTTTATCAATAACACAGGAATTCAGTACCTTACAGTAAATTTCAATATTTGTGTTAACAAAACTATAAATGATGAAACTCCACAACGGGATGAAATAAAAAATGAATTGAAGAATTGCTTTGAAAACTTTGAAAACTTAAGCAGTAAGTATAACTTCATAAACAGTGTCTGAAATTTTACTAGTTTGCAATTATTGTACAATAATTTATTAAGATCAAGTTTAATTAAAATTTTATTTATCAATAGACACAATTTCAAGTACATCGACAACATTGCAAACAGATATACCAACAATTTCTTTGTCAAATACAACATCTGATTCAACGCCAAGTATTTCAACAGTTTCATCAACAATTCCTCCTACAAGTAATAATACGGTTCCGTCAACAAATCCACCTACAGATCCACTATCCAGCCCTCAAACAGAACCGTCGACAATCACTTCAACAGAACTGACGACAATAACTTCAACAGAACCGTCGACCATCACTTCAACAGAACCACCAACTACAACTTATAATGGCGCAACTGCAATAATTATTGCGAAATTTGTACTTATTTTAGCATTCATTATTAATTTCATGTTTACCTAAACATTTTATATTAATATAAAGCAAATGAGTCGAAATAAAATTAATTTCTTTAATTGCATTTGATAACAATACATTTCCAAATAAAAAGGCAATAAATTAATTTATTAAAAAAAATTGTCAAAAGCTTTAAATTTATTTTCTGCAAAAATAACACTCAAACTTAAGACAATCCCGTTAACAACATTCCACTTGAAGGCATAACAAAAATCACAAATCTATTTTCTTATCAATTGTATTTCGAAATTTGCAATTTAAAAGAAACGCCATAAAGATTAAATTAATAAGCAGTCATAAATGTTCAGTCAAAACTTTGAAATGACAAATTTCTAAGAAAATTAACTGCTCATTTTACTTAAAACGATTAATTTTCCACATTTTGATGAAAAGAGGCAGAATGACATGTGCGTAATAAAAGCAAAAATCAAACAATAAATAAAAAGTTGTTTGTGTGAAATTTCAAGCGTAAATGTTGAAGACATAAATAAAAGGCGTGTAAAAATGGAAACTGATTATCAATAAAAGACAATGAGATTAGCTTCTTTGTATGAAAGCTATCTTATCTTTTAATAACTTTCATTAGTTCGTTTAATTGTCTTTAATCAATTTTTCTTTGAAAAGATAATTCCATTAAACTTTTGAGTTTTTTTTTTCACAATGTCAATCATAAGTAGTCATTCAATAAGAGCTGAAGTTATGGACAGTAAACTTAAAATTTTAATATTTGCAATTTTCAACTTCCAAATTGCAACAATCTCGAGTCAAATTCTAAGCTGCAACTATGTATTAATTCAAGGAGTAAGCTATGGATGTGAATTGACAATCTTTAATCCAAATGGAATGACAAACATCAATACAATAAATGGGACACATTTAACTGGATATACTGATGTAGATGTTGTGGAAATTTTTCCAACTACTGATTCATATAGTCCAGTAATTCCTTCAAAGATCTGTGAAAAGTTTGAAAATTTATTGAGAGTGTTATTTACTTCAATTGGTATTAATAAAATTACAAAAGATTCTTTCAAGAGCTGCACGAAAATTCAACAGCTGAATCTTGATGGAAACAATATTAGCTCGATCGATGTGGATTCATTTGCACAAAACTCGCATCTCCAACTTTTAATTTTGTCAAAAAACAAAATTTCAAATATGCCTGAAAATTTATTTTCGGCTCAGCAAGAGATTCACACTTTAAATTTAGGTACAAATTATATAGAAACTTTGCCAAATGATATTTTCAAACCATTGAAAAATTTAAGGAATTTGTTCATGTTCTTTAATAAAATTAAAATTTTAAAAACCGAATGGTTTTCTAATCTTGGAAATTTGCAATATTTGGAACTTTATCTTAATGAAATTGAGACTCTTCCGGTGAATGTGTTTAGTGACCTAAAGAATTTAACTTATATCACACTCTCCTACAATAAAATCGAAATCATTAACTCAGAATCATTTGGATATTTAAAAGAACTAAAAAATGTAGATTTCGCTCATAATCAAATTAGTGCTTTTGATGAGAGATTTATTGATAATACTATAGTTATGACTTTGACGATGAATATAAATGTTTGCATTGACAAAGAAATTTATGATGATTCTCCAACGAGAGAATTTATGAGGATTGATTTGGCGAAATGTTTTGAAAACTTTGAACGAATTATGGCAAGTAAGGCATTTAATTTAACAAACCTATTCTATCATTTTTCTTTTTTCTCTAATAAATAAGAAAAGTTGTCAATTTGTTATTTGAACTCAATTAAAAATTAATATATTTAAAGCAACAACAACAACAGCCCATCCAACAACCACATCATCACAGCAAACAACAAGGCAAACAACTACAACAACACATCCAACGACCAATGAGATAATAACCACGACAACTGAAAAACCATTACCGCCAGGATGCTCAAATGAAAATTTAACTGAAAGAGTTTGTTTGATTGAAGATGAACATAAAGAGTTTCGTATAAGCTTCACGGAATTAAGAGAAGAGAATGCAAAACTTTTAAAGATCATTGATGATATTCTAAAAGAGAAAGAAAGCATGGCATTAAGAATTGACGATCTTGAAAAAAAGAATGAAAATTTGAGAACAGATTTTGAAAAACAAAACAAGGACGTTTCTGAGATGTTTGAGAACATACAAAATCAAATTTTAATAATGTCTACTCGTCCTTGTTCATGTCAATAATTTTTATTTAAACGATAGTCAAAAATTATCTGAAAATCTTCGACTTAAATTGGTTTATCATTAAATTGGTCATTATCAAATAACCCTTATATCTCGTTCAATAAGCGTCGATTACAACTTTATTGCGATAAAGTATAAATAAAGATTAAAAATGAAAACAAGTATTTTATATTAACCGAGGAAGGAAGAGTGTTGATATGAGGCATTTATCTATATAAAATTTTTTGTTCCGGTGATTCACTGATTCTTATCTTGAGGCATTTGATATCCCGTGAATCGAGTATATTACTTAGTTTCCAGAGTTTGATCAGCAAATACAATCTTAGACAAAAATAAAAGACATTGACAATCCACTAAATTTACCAATTCCAAAATTTTCTCTTTATTGTCTCAATAAAAATTAATTAAGTAAAACGAGAGAAACTAAATATAACGAGCATCTTCAACTTTCAGAAGATTATGTCAATATTCTCAAGTGAACGAGCAAGAAACATAAAATGAAAGTCATTTTCAATAAACATTTCGACATACGACTGAATATCATTTTCTATTGGCTTTATCAGAATTGTTGTGGATTCAAAATGTCTTTCGGGAGACCAGCAAGGATGCATCCGGATTGTTCAGAAAATGTAAGTTTAAGTCGATAAAAAAGAAGCATGCAAATTTTATCAGAAAATGTGGAATATTATAAAAATTTCCAGTGATTTGAGAAAAGCAGTGACTTAGAACAAGACAGAAATTGACACTTTCTGAATGTGCGATGAATATTACCATAAATTTTTATTTCCACAGCGTAAATATGCGATTTTCTCAATGCATATAGCACAGATTTTTCTTTAACCAAAAATAACATTTTACATACAAACGATTTAGAAATTGAGTCACAATTGTGAAGCTGCACATTTTGTCATAAAGATAGAAGTAAAAGAATGAGGAACAAGACCGAGATTTTTCTTTTCTTTCTTACAGTAAATGTAATAAAATTTAATGAGATGATTGCACGTCACGTTTTTGTCATTTATTCCCTTACTTATATTCATTCCTTCATAATCTATGAATATATTTTCGAAATCTTTCTCGTTTTGAATTCATAATGTAGAGGTTCCGAGTCAAAGGTTGAAGTAATTTTATGGTAAGTTTTAAGAATTATTTGCGTAAGGTTTTGAAGCTTTTCATTAAACATATCTAAATCTTTGAAAATCACTCAACAGGTTTTCTTGAAAATTATGTAAATTTCAAAAAATCTCATGGAAGAGAAAACTAACATGGACACAATTGAGAATTGGTAAATACAAGCTAGCTATAGAGTTGTTAAAGTAAGTTTCACGAAAATGCAAGAAGAGTCTTTGAGCACTGTTTAGTAAAAACCGAATCCAATGACAAATCAGAACCTCTACATTTCAACCAGTATGACATACATTAAGTTCATCTTATTGTCGTCGAATTTATAAAAATAGTTTATTTTTTATATGAAAATATATTCTTTGCATCTTTTTCGTCACTTACTATGCATTTTCTTCTTTTTCGATTTTTATGTCACTGCTGACGACGATATTGAATGAATTTAAGATACGAGGAAGTAACTTTTCTTACTCACCGATTGGTATTTGACGCTTGCATAAAACTATTCCAAAGTAATGAATTACAAGCAAGATTTTCAACATTTTTAACTTTTTTGAAACTTTTAGTAAATGATTGTCATTAATTGACTTCCTGCTTCATTTGTGATGGATTCTCTTAAATGCACTTTTTTTATTTTTTAAATTTTTTTTATGGCATGTGTAGATTTTAGAATTTAAATTATATTCTCATTAAATAATTTGAGACTTTCACTAGCTAACATGTAATCTATAATATTTTACAAAAATGACTAAATATGAACTTATTGGTCAGAATAAAAAATTACTGAAATTATTTTTAAAAAAATCTTATTTTTTTCTTCTTCTAATGAACCTTATAACTAGCTCACACCTGTCAAAATATTTGCTTTATTGCACCTCGAAGTTAAACGAGCAACTGAAATTCAATTTCATTTAAATTTTTCATTTCATCTCAAAGTTTACATTTCTCAAAAAGTTTTCTATTTGCTCTTAAGAAAATGAAATGCAATTAAATATAAAAATTTGTAAATTTTCTCACAACTAGAAATTTTGTATCAGCAAATTCATTCTCATCATAAAAATTTAGAGATTTTTCATTCTCATAAATTTGTCATCTCATTCGGAAATTAAATTTTTGTTTCTTCTTAGAGTTTTGTAAACCGTTCATCTATGGGGATATTTTTCCATATATGTGAAAAGCTTGTCCATAATTTAATAATGTGAAATTACTTTCAGAACCCTCTTTATATTTGAATGCATCATATCAACCTAATCACAAATCTATTTTTAAACATTGTTCATCAGGCATGAGTTGATTTAAAATTACATCTATACCTTAATATCATGTTTATTGAACCATAACATGAAAAGCTACATTATTTACTTTATTCTATATTTAAAATGTATCAGATTGGAAACTATATCAAAAAATTTGAATCTACTGTAGATAACATTGAATTTGTTATTGCTTTTAATGAGAGTTTTTATTGAGTATTTATTTTGAAAGTTTTACTGACTTTCAAATTCTTAATAATGTATCATGTAATTTGCCATTCTATTTGACAAAAGATGGCGTTTCATGCCAAGTACAATTTTTGATATATAAATTGAGTTAAAGGAAAGCAGCAGTGGGTCGATATCGTTGAATATCTGCTAAAATTGTGACAGTTCATGAATCAAAAATTTTAACTTTTCGCTCTTAATTTATAATTTTGTTAACTTTAATAATTACCAGTCAGTCTTGATTTTACAAAAGTCAACCTCAATAAATTGAAAATTATAATCATAAAATTCCTTAAAAATTAATAATAAGACATTTGAAAAATAAACTGATGATTGTTCTTCTTTCATCTTAAACCTTGAATATAGCGAGCAATTATACGTTTATAAACAGCTATAATTACAAATTAAACTCATCTAAGGGGTTAAAATGTCAAAAATATTGATAAGACTCAATCAATAAAATGAATTTAAAAATAAATAACAAGCAATAAATTAAATGTTGAATTAAAAAGTTTAAAGCGTATTTAAATGTTGAAAATTAGAATTTTGAAACTAATAAAATAAATTCGGTTTTTAAGTTTAATGATGTTGGAAACCCTAATTATTAAAATTGTGAACATCTGGAGAAATTTTGAACATTTTAAAAACTTTTAACAAACTTTAAAAATTCAAAAATTTTAAGTTCATATTAGAAAGTCCTTAAAAGCTCAATCACAAACTTCTCGAAGCTTTCCGACAACATTCACATCCCTTAAGCTCAAAAAATCTACTCCAAACATTCTTTCGTCATGCGCACAAAACCAAAACATTCCGAATCTACATTTCTTTTAATAGTAAACACACGACATGATTGCACTTCAGTACGAATCCAGCATCCGACTAGAATAGTAAAATCGAAAAGTCAAAAGCAGGCAATTTTCACAGAGTGAATAAAAAGTCTGAGTGAAAAAATTTTTCATCTGACAAAAAACGGAATTAAATTGTGAAATTTAGTGAATTTAATAATGTGCTAGTAATAGTGAATGCATTAAACTGTTAAGTAAAATGATAACAAAAGTGATTGTGATAATTTTAGTTTGTTTAAAATTTGATTTTATTCATCCACTGCCTGATATTATTCGCATTGGTAAGGAGAAGATGATGAAAAAGGTTTTTTTTCTATGTGAATGGAGTGAGTGAGTGAGAGCGAGATAATATTTTTTTTTTCACTTTATTCTACTGTTGGGTGAAGAAAGAGAAGATGAGACATCCTTTATGCAACACAGGGTGTAGCTGGCATGTTTTTAATGTGATAGAATTTTTGCCGCGCTCCTTAGAATTTATTTTACAGATTTTTAATTAAAGTTTCTTTTTCTTTGTCGATTTATGCTCAAAACTTTTTATGTTTTGGAACTTTTTTAATTTTCTCTTCTTTTATTTTGATTATGTAAATTTTTGATAAGAAAATTGAAAATTTATGGAGCGAATTGTGCCGTAGAAGGATGAAAGTTCTGAGGAATTAAAAACAAATTTTTTTATGAAGTAAGAAATGATTAAAATAGTTTTTATTGCTTTCAAAGCATCCAAACATGAAAATTGGAGATGGCAAATTTAATTAAAATGTTTTCATATAAAATAAGCAACTGTGCAGTTGTGATGAATAGTGTTTAAAAAAAAGCCAGACTTTACATATTGAGGATTTAAGTGACTTGAAAAACCAATTAAAAACATTAATTGAAATATGGAACATTTTCCTTAGCTTTATTTTTATTCTAAAAAACAAGGAAAAGGAGAATTTTTAAACAACTTGACATATTCGAATTAAACTCTCATATAGACTTGGATTTATTGTAGGTATTTAAATAAATTATTTCGTTATGACAATTTCTCATATTTGTCAATTCATTGGAACCGTAAATATCGTGGTTGATTATGGAAATAAACGTCCAATTCTGATTTAACCATGACAACAATAATTAAACCAATCAGTGTTTTTAAAAAATTTATTTAACATTAAAAAGCTTGGCTTCATTGGAAAAATCATTATTAATTTATGACATAATTTAAATGAGCAAATATAAAAAGTTTCCATCAAAAGAGCTTATGTCCAATGTGTATCACTATCATTGCTTCAAAAATCATATCTATCAACTACTCAAATAAATTTATTTTGTGGCATTAGGTTTCATTTTGTGGATGAATCATTATTTCATTGTAATTTAATTGAATTTTGAGTATCAGTTTTCAAATGTTTCAAAAACATTTGGTGACAACGTTGTTGTTGAATCATAGCATTGATTTTGGAGCATTTTAATTAATACTTATGAATTGTATGATATTCACTTCATTCAATTTTCCGTAAAGTTATTGAAGACTTTCAGCACAGCAATAAAGTTTTTTAAATTCTTTTAAATAAACAAAGCAGATACATTCATGACTTTAAAGGTAAAACAGAATGAATAATGCTAATGAGACCTTTTTATTCAGTCACACGGAAAACTCTTAATCGTGCATATTTTCATTTTCTCATTGTGAATGTTAAGGCGGGAAAATAAATGTGTTTAAGACTTTTTGCCAAGAAAAATTTCTAATCTTCACTTCATTTCTTAAAGACCACTTTGATTCCAAACAATTTACCTTTTATTACTCCCCATTTCCAATCGAATGAAAAGTGAATATTTTATTGCCAAACCATTTCCTTCAAGCAAATACATCGTGATATGAGGAGAATTCAAAAGTGAGAAGAACGTGATGGGATGGGTGCTGAAATATTTGAGTGATCAATGGCTCAAAAATATGATACAAAACAATAAAGTTTGCTGACTTACTCTTATGAGATATTTCGTAAAAGTTGGTTAAACAGAAGTTTGAAGGTTGAAGTTAATGACATATTTTACGACAGATTGGATGGACAATGTTTGAGGTATGAGACGAAATTTATGAGCCATGTCGTATTGTCGATGTTTTTTTTTGATTTTTAAGGATCTGCAAGACTAACAACTGAACGAAGATTAGAAAATTCTCGTAGAGGTGGGGGAGTGCTATGAATTTACTATTCTAGAAAATCAGTGCTTTTGAAAAACTAGATTAATGTATCAACATCAGCACAAATTCATATGCAGTAAATCTGTAGCATAACCCATAAATCCATAAAAGAGAAAAGTCGTAAAATGAAACTTTCCTATCAATTTTCAATAACATCCAAACTCTAAATTCTATAAATAAATCGCATTTCACATTAAATTTCATTTCTATTCAGATTAACAGTATTTTTGCCAGGTTCAGCAGTTTTTCGACGAGTTACGACTCACAATGATATTTTTTTCTGCACAAATGTCATCAAGCGAATAAATCGAGAAGCTCAAAGAACACAAATCTGCTTATTTGTACACATGATATCAAATTCATGATATTCTTTTATATAATTCCATATCCACATTTCTATTTTATTCCCTTATGCTTCATTTGAGACGACACATCATTGCAGAGATTGAAAAAAATATTTGTGCTATAAACTTTCTCTTTTGCTCGTTCATCCTGGCTCATCCTTTCAATTTCAATGTGTGTACAACTTTTTTTAATGATGATGCCGAGGAAGTCATCGTCATTAATTTAAAGGAAAAATTTCTCCGGAAGCTTCTGTTTTATTAAAGAGATAAAAAAATCTAGAGCATTAATAATGCTTCTTCCTGTGTGCTTTCGTGAATAAAAACCACAAAAACCTTGAATTTCTTCTTTCATTTAATAACTGGAATTCCATTTCTATCTTTTCATTTTTTTCGCTTTGTTTCTCCTTCTTGTGTAATTTGCATTTTTATTGCCTCATGACATCTTTCTTATTACACTGAGAATAATAAGAAGACGATGTTTGTGGTGTTGAGATGAAATATTCAAAAAAAAAAAGAATTTTCTTAGAAATATTTTGAATGTTGCTTTCCATTACTTTAAAGAAGTCTACAAAAAATAAATAAATAAAATTAGAAAAAATTCTTTCACAGCATCTATAATAAACTAAACATGTCTCTCTCATTATCTCATCCTTTTATGATTTCATAAACAACAAGAGCCATCGTTTAACGTCTTGATTGTGACTCTTAAACACTTTCTAGTTGAGCAGTTGTCGGAATTGATTTGATATTGTGTGTGAGTGAGCGAGATGGAAGTAGATTGTTATTATTTACATACAAAATTTCAACAAGCCTGACTTCTTATTCTTCGTCTATTGTTTTGTCACTTAAAGTTGTAGTCTTTTGTTTGCTCGCAAATTCTCGACAAAATTTTTCTTATTGCTCGAAAAACATACAAAAAAATTTTCTCGTTCAAAGCTTTTCTTGGCTTCTTGAAGAAGATTTTCGCTTTTGTCACTTTGCAGTTGTTCTTGCTCTTTAAACTACTCGTAGCAGATGCTTCATGACATTTATTTCTAAATGTTTTTTAAAAACAAATTGGTAAAAATGACTCATTTAAGAAGGAGCAATCTTTTAAGAAGGAGCAAGGAATTCACGCGTGTAGAATGCATATAAGTCAATTGAGCGTTAAAGTCTCGAATCTGCTCCTAATTCTTAATAATAAATAAACCCTTAAAATATTTCAAATAATTCAGACATTATTAAATTAATATCTTCAGCATCAATGCATACCAATAAGGTAATCACAAAAAATTTAAAAAAAAACTCATGTGGCATTCTAGAAAATAAAGGATTAAACAGAAAAGGAAATTTGCATTATAATTCATGCAAAATATGTTTTAATATTGATTTTACATGTCGAACATCTTTTTCCTATCGATTTCTGAACCACAAATATGAAATAAAGCTTCCGAAATATATTTTTGCACCACGTTCGAGCAGCAATAACAAAAAATAATGTGTACGAAATTTTTTGTCGTTTGCCAAGAAAAGAAAAGATATGTGGAGCAAAAAAAATGGTATAAGGAAGTTTTTTTGGATGTTCAAAATACTACTGCTTCCTGCTTTAAGTAACTGAATTAATATTGTGACAAAAAATATGTGCCTTCTTAGAAAAAGGATTGATAATTCATAGAACAAAACCATACATTATTTGGTGGTTTTTGGAGTTGTTTAAATATAAACCGTATCAAAAGTCGAAATAGAAATTTCTAGAAATAAATCTGATGATTTAAGTGTTTTATTTAATAAATTGATAACATTGGGAGAATCCTACACTTAAAATAATATGCAGCAATCAATCAATATCTCTTCGAAGAATTAGAAAAGTAAGAAATTCTTCAGTTCCATCAGAACCAACACAATATGTTATGTATTAGAAAATAAGTCATTCAAATCATTGTCACTTCTTTGTCGTACATAATTCTTTAAATTGGAGATATATTTCATTTATTTTTTAAAGAAAAGTCTTCTAAAATTAATTTATTTTTGCAAAAACCCAAACGAAAGCAAAGCAGAATGAGAGATGACTTAGAAATCAAAAAGAAAAGGAAAGTATTTTATGAAAATGTTGTGTTTCTTATTTCTTATTGTTCATGCTCTGCAAAAAAGCTGACTTTAATGTATAAAAATGCTGCTTTTCTGTTGTAATATGAAAATCTTCCAGTGGTGTCATCATTCAATGGTCCATAACATTGGCATTCATGACAATAGGATTTATGATGAATGTTTTAGACAGAAAAAAGAAAATGTTGAAAAAGAGAAGGAATTTGGCAACAAACTGAAGTTGTTCAATGGCGCAGTGATCCAGTGATTTTGCTTCCACATCCACTTTTTTGAATTCTCTCACATGGATGTTTCTAGGAATCCATGAGGCTACAATAAAAGAAAAACTTTCAATCTGCATGTAAATTTGATAGGAAACTCTAGGAAATAAACTTTTAAACTGAATTTTAATAAAATAATGGACAAAGTTCGAGCAAACCGAACTCAAATAAAATGCTTCAAAACTAAGCTAAGACAACAACAAACGGACAAAAGACTTAGAAATGTAAAAGAAAAGAGAAACAGACTCGACATAAAAATATCTATTAATCATATTAAATTTGTGGATGTGTAAAAATATTGGGATGTGAAATAAGAAATTCGACTTTTTTCTCGTCTCCATAGCATTCACTCATTCAACGATATCTCTTTATGCTGAAGCTTAAAGCTAGAATTGTGTCTTCCTCATTTCATC